GGTTCTATTTTGAAATCACTCGGGAGGGCTTATATAGCACCTCCGAGGCCATTTTGCTAAAAGGACTTGGACCGAACAACATGATATCTAGAGCTGGGCACGGTTCGGATACTCGAGTTTTTTGAGGTATTTGCTAACCGAACTAAACCGAGCAAATATTCGAACTAGCTAACCGAAACCGAACCGAAAATCTCGGTTAACCGAAAAAAATCCTACTATTTGCGGATTAACCGAACCGAACCGAACCGTGTAAACCTAAGACAAATATGCTAACTTGTTTGCAAATAATAAACCGAACCGAACCAAACCGAACCGAACCGAAATAATTAAACATAATCAGCCAATCATTGATGTTTGCAAATCATAATCACAATCACAAACCATAAACCATCCCTGTTTGTAAATAATAATCCACAAACAACAACCAACAGGTATAGTGCAAATCACAAATCATCCCACAAAAGTTAAATATAATCTCCAACAAATCATTAATCATCCCTACAAGTTCATACTTCATCATCAAACAAGATACTAAAGGATTGGGACTGTTCCTTTTCGGGCAAAACCCGCTTGATGAAATGCTCCAAAGCTGGAAATTTTCTTCAGACATTCTGTTGGCGGGTCTTCTTGATGATGGGTGCCCTTTTGGTCTCCTGGGTGTTTATGAGCTAATACACAATCAATGATATCACCATCTGGGCTCTGTGCAACAAAATTAATAGTGTTTGATTAAGATAATGACAAGTACAAAAAAGCAAGGAAGCAACAGGACAAAAAAAATGAATAAATAATAATAATGAATGAATAAGAAAATTTAAACTTGCCCGAATTGATTAAAATGTGTTTGCGCCTCAACACTACAAAAGTCAGAACTACCCCTAACATTTGTAGTATTGATTAGAGAGAAAATTCTAAGGGTATTTTGGTAAAATCTTCAAGACTAGTCATCCAAGTCCAAGAGATTAGCATCCCATACTGATAAAAATTAAATCATAAAAGGGATTATGTTTGCTATATAAATATTTATTAAACATATCTATTAATGAAAAGATAGAAATAATACATACCTTCTTCTAATTTTTCAAGATCTTCAAATTCCTTTTGTTCAAAAATGGGTGGATTACCTTTCTGAATCTAATCTTGTGCGCATATAAGTGCTTCAATCAATTTGGGAGTTAAAGAACTACGAAAGTGATCAACAACACGACCGCCCGTGCTAAATGCAGATTCCGATGCAACCGTGGATGCTGGGATGGCCAACACATCTCTAGCCATGCGAGAAAGAGTTGGATACTTCGATCCTGTTGTCTTCCACCAGTACAGAATATCAAAGCTCACTTGAGTCATCTTTTCACATTCATCATCCAAATATTTATCCAATTCAGACTTCAACACACCATGAACTTCAACGGCTTCAAATTCTTCCATTTCTCTTTGCAACATTCTCTCAAAATCATCAATGTTGACAACATCATCAATGATATTA